CCCCGCCCGGGGTCTGTGGCTCTCGGCGTCTCGGGGGGCGTTGCTCCAGCACCGAGGGGTTCCACCGCCCGGCCCGGGATCGTGAGGGCGTTGCCCGGGATAGGGGCGGCAGCGGGTCCTCCGTGGACACGAGTCTGCAGCGCCCTCTGGGCGGGGAATGCCGGACGCCTTCCAGGTGCGCCCGGGTCCCAAGATCGAGCTTTCTGGGTCCACCCGGGAGCCCGAAGGCGGTGAGGCCTTAGCCTGGTGCACACTCTCGGTCACGAGCCCACTGCCGCCCGTCCTTCGGCTGCGGACGCGCCCGGCCGCACGGTCCACGTGCTCTCCGCCTTCACCCAAGTCCTGGGAACTCTGGGCCTTACTTTGATAGCCGGCCACTGTGCAGAAGAACGGTTGTTTTAAAAAGAAGTTTTCAGAGACATTCTATAGAAGACAATGCCTTCTCTCTTCATACCCCGAGCCAAAAGGCAAAACAGACAGCTGCTTTGTTCCCGTGTGACCTCAGGCATGCCCAGCTGAGGAGCACAGGTTGTGTGCCCTGCTTCTCGCCATTCCTTGTAAGGGCCTAGACCTCAGAAACTCCATCCCCAGCTGGCACAAGGCCACGGAGAGCCTGTGCGTGTCGTGCAAAGGGGAAAAACTGGATGGCCCCCGCTCGCAATCAGAAGCAGGAGAACCCAGTGCCCAATAACCTTAGCATCTGGGCCTAAGGCAACAAAGAAAGATGACATTTTCCTTACTACCATCGTCCCCCGGCAGAGGTACCGCGAGACTCAGTCTGTCTGAACTGGAAACCAGGACATAAAAAAAATCCATCTCTGGGGCTGGGAAGGTGGCTCAGTGGTAGAGCACTTGCCTTGCATGCATGAGGCCCTGGGTTCGATTCCTCAGCACCACATAAGCAGGAATTAAAAAGGCCGGAAGTGGTGCTGTGGCTCAAGTGGTAGAGCACTTGCCTTGAGCTGAAGAGCTGAGGGACAGTGCCCAGGCCCAGAGTTCAAGCCCCACAATCGGACCAAAAAAAAAAAAAATCCATCTCTGTTGCCAGCCAGCTATGTGAGAAATTCAGAGGGACGTCTTTTGGGTCTTTCCCTAATACCAGAATGTATTGAATAATAACCATTTCACAAGCCAGATCTATTTCATTAGCATTATTTTCCCCAGTATTAACAATGTCATTTGACATCCCTGAGCCATTGGCAAACATGTATTTTTATTCCAATCTCAATTACTAATATTAACCCTCAGATCACTCATTATACTCATACAATAACAATATATAGGTAATGCTAAGGAAGGGTTGAGGAGGCTCTAAAGATCAGAGGCTGGGTGGGAGGCACAGGCAGATAGCTGGTAGAGAGGGAGGAAAAAGTAATAGGGAACCACGTAAGAAGTTCTACACACTGTGGGCACAGAGCTGTTCAAGATACAGAATTTGGTAGCTCACGCCTACAATCCTAGCTACTCATGAGGCTGAGGTCTGAGAATCACAGTTCAAAGCCAGCTGAGGCAGAAAAAGTCCATGAGACTTTTCTGAAGTATGGTCCAAACTGTAGCGCACCAGCTTTGAAGCAGAAAAGGCCAAAGGAGAGCATTCAGGCCCTGAGTTCAAGCCCCAGTACCAAAACACACACACACACACACGAGTTATCAAATGCAGGTCCAGGTGGCAGGCCATTTTTAATGTCAGTTTGTCATGGGCAAATTGGAAACCACTGGAGCTGGAGCCTGGGGACTCTTGGCAATTTGTCTGACCAAGACGTATGAGGAGTAACCTGATGACAGAATTCAGTATGCCTGCCACATCTCAGTCCTGCGGTACTCCTCCTTTTTCAGTCCCTGGTTAGAGGAGTTACATCTGCTGTGGTTGGTAAGTTCATGTGTCTGGGATTTCTGATACTGTATTGCAAACATAATTGTTTATTGGCACAAATAAATGATCAGTATGTGCCTTATGGTATGCTGATAGATAGTAGTGGTTCACATGTTTGAACAAGATATAGGATTGTTCTCTGTTCACTTAGTCTCAAAATGGAATAGCAGTGGTCAAAACTGTTACTCAATAAAAGAGTGAAGCAAGACAGACTGAAAGTTGAATATAGAGTCACCCAGAGCAGGCCCAGACTCTTCACCTCCATCTCCTAAGGCTCCTCAGACTTCTAAAAGTCTTCGGTGTTGTAAGCCTCCCTGGGCCCTGCGTCATTTAAGAAGGGAAATTGATTATGGGCCCCTAGATTCTGCTCCATCTTCAGGAATGGTTTCCTGGCACTAGCCAGCCCCCTTCCGGTCCCTACCTCGGGCCGTACCCTGTTGGAGAACTCAGGGATGATGACAGTCATCACTGCTCATCACGCTCTGTCCCTGCCTTTGCTCCTGAACCCCTCAATCAACTCTCCCTTCAGAGAGGGGAGGTCTCAGTTTCCCCAGGTCTGTCTCTGGGGTGTACAGATGTGTAACAGGTCCTCCTTAAGTTTCCTCCAGGCTGCTGTACATCTCTGAGGGCCTTGGTGACAAATCAAGGGACAATAGGACTAGGGACCTCTCCAAGTGGTTCCAGGCTCTGAAATCAACTTTTTAGATTTTTTTCAACCCAATATGGAAGAAAAATGTATGTGTTTGATGTTTTCTCTTTTTATTCTCAAATTAAGAAAGCTTGACGTCAGGAGAATTTAATGGGAGTCAGCTGCTGGGCTGACAAGTGGCTCTTGCCTGTAATCCTACCTACTCAGGAGGCTGAGACCTGAGGATCGAAGTTCAAAGCCAGCCTGGGCAGGAAAGTCTGTGAGACTCTTCTCCAGTGAACCACCAGAAAACCTGAAGTGGCACTGTGGCTCAAGTGGTAGAGCACTCACTTTAAACTGGAGAGTTCAGGAACAGCGCCCAGGCCCTGAGTTCAAGCCCCAGGACCAGCACCAAGACAGAGACAGAGACAGAAATGCTGCTCTTGACAGGGCTGGCAGGTGGGGGAGGAAGAAGTTGGGTGAGAAGAAGAAATCTAATACCTGACCGCAGGGCTGTCCGGGGAGTGTGCTGGGCACCTGAGCTGGCACAGGCCTCCCTGCACAGACTGGCAACATCAGTGATGCTGAAAACGCATTGACTTCTGCCCAGGGATTCTCTGCTCGAGGTGTTCCTCTTCCCAAGCATTTCTAGTGCCCCACAGAGCTGTGTCTCAGGCCCACCACAAAAGAGGAAGGGAGACTGAAGAAGGATTGCTGTCACATGCCCAAGCGAATCCACTTCATCTTCTCTGACTCTGCTTCTGCTGCCTTAACTTCTTCCCTACTGCAGTCGCCATTTATTGCAAACATCTTCAGGAGGAAAGCAAAGTCAATCCCCACTCCAGGTAGCAAAGACTTGATTTTTTTTTTTTTTTTGTCGGTCATGGGGCTTGAACTCTGGGCTTGGGCGCTGTCCCTCAGCTCTTCAGCTTAAGGTGAACACTCTGCCACTTGAGCCACAGCACCACTTCCATGCAAAGACTTTCTTAGCCTGACTATTCCTGAGATAATGACCCATAAGGCCACAGTTAGCCCAGGTCTGATTAAGCGCACATGCATCTGGCCTCTTCCCTCTATTCTCGGAAAGCTCATCGTCAGCACCCTGAAGATGGACCCGAGGTCACTGAACCTTGTTGCCTGTTCTTCCCAACTTGGCAGCATTGGATTTGATTTGCTACTGCACCTCTCTGTTGTTGCTTATTGGGACAAGTGGCCAAGCCTGGGCTATTGGTTCTGTTGGCATCTAGGCTGTGGCCCTGAACTCTTGAAAGAAAATATTTACAAGTGGTCCCCCCACTGGAATACCATTTGTATTTTGTAGATAAGTCCAAAAATTAAAATTTCAAAGCACACAACACACAACACACACACACACACACACACATACACACAACACATATGCATGCCAGCACTGCGGCTTGACTTAGGACCTGGGCATTGTCTCTTAACTTTTTAGTTCAGTGCTGGCACTGTGCCACTTGAGCCACAGCCCTACTTCCCACTTTTTTGATGCTTAACTGGACATAAGAGTCTCATGAAACCTCCTTTCCCTGGTTGGCCTCAAATCCTCAGATCTCAACCTCCTGAGTAGCTAGGATTACAAGCATGAGCTGCCAGCACCCAGACATTTTGAGTTCTTAAAAAGCATCAGTGTTCGCTTCGGCAGCACATATACTAAAATTGGACCGATACAGAGAAGATTAGCATGGCCCCTGCACAAGGATGACACACAAATTCGTGAAGGGTTCCATACTTTTTTCTATATTGGATTTTGGTACCCTGTGTATTGTATATATGTTTATCTGAACTAGGGAAGGAAAGGGGAACAACAAAATGGTGACACAAAGGACAAAGTGGGAACCTATGCAACAACGATACCCACAAGAAATATGTTGAAAATAATCTGTACAACTTGGGAGGGGGGATAGGTGAAGGGGAAAAGGGAGAAAAATGAGGGAGGGGGTAACAAGTTAGACAAGAAGTGTAATTGCCACCTTACATATGTAACTGTAACCCCTCACCTTGACAATACATTTTTTTTTAAAGACACAAAGCCAGTTCTTTTTTTTTCTCTTTTATTAACAACTATTTTATTCTTTATTTCTTTGGATACTGAGATGTTTACCTGAACCATACACCAGAAAGTTGGAATTACTGGGTACAATTAGTGAACACATGTTTGTTTCCTTTGTTTTTAAAATAATTTTATTTATTTATTATCTTTAAGTAGTTGTACAAGGAAGTTCCCATTCTACAAAACAGTGTATGAGCACAAAGCATCTGACAACGTTGTCGCCCATCTCTCTTAACCCATCCCTTCTCTCACTTTTTTCCTTTCATTGAGATTAGGTGATTACATAAATTTCACATATTTCACAGTATTGTGGAATAGTGATAATTAGTTCAAGTCACAAACATTTTAATTTTCACAAGGCAAATTGTCATTATCATGATCTATACAGTTTGTGAATTCTATGAGCTTTGACATTACAAGTTATTTTTTCCATATCAGGTGATGTTTACATTTCTTTCCTTTTGCTTAGTGTGGGCTGTTCCCACTTACTCTGTTCCTCCTCCTGGCTTCCCTCTGTTGTGTGCATATATCTACCATATATATGGCCTAGAACATGGAGTCATTCAGCAATGATATGACAAAATGGTTGGCTGTCCTTTGTTTCTTGAGTTCTGTTTGTCATATCTTTTTGTATCCACGTATCAGGGAGACCACGTGCAGTTTGTCTCTTTGTTCTTGGCTTCGCTCAAAATAATCTGCTCTAGCTCCATCCATTTCCCTGCAAATGCCATTATTTTGTCCCTTCTAATGGCTGCATAATATTCCATTGTATATAGGTACCACAATTTTTGGATCCATCATCAGTAGTGGGGCATCTGGGTTGTTTCCATATCCTGGCTGTTGTGAACAGTGCTGCAGTAAACATGGAGGTGCATGAGTCTTTGTAAACTGGTTCCTGTTGCTCAGCGTAGAAGCCTAGGAATGGTATGGCTGGGTCATAGGGGAGGTCTATATTTAGTTTTCCAGACTGCTTTCCAAAGTGGTTGTATTAGTATACATTCCCACCAGCAATGCGGTAGATTCCTCTTTCTCCACATCCCCTCCAGCATTTGTCATTGGCTGATTTTAGGATGTCAGCCATTCTGACTGGGGTAAGGTGGTATCTCAGTGTTTTTTATTTGCATTTTCTTTACTGCCAAGGGTGATGAACATTTCCTTAAGTGTTTCTTTGCCATTTTTATCTCCTGAGAAATCTTTCTTTAGGTCCTTTGCCCATTTCATGATTGGTTTGTTAGATTTGTGAGGGGTTAATTTCTTGAGTTGCCTGTATATAATGGATATTAGACCCTTGTCTGGTATTTTGCTGGTAAATATTTTTTCCCAGTTGGTTGTCTTTCTAGCTTGGTTGCTTTAGCTGTGCAGAAGCTTTTTATTTTAAGGTAGCCCCATTTTTCCAGTCTCTCTCCAATTTGTTGTGACCCTGGGACTCTGTTCAGGAAGTTCCTGCCTGTGCCTATAAATTCAGGTGTCTCTCCTACTCTGTCCTGTAGTAGTTTTAGAGTATAAGGTTTGATGTTAAGGTCTTTAATCCATTTTGAGTTGATGTTAGTGTGTGGTGATAGGCTAGGGTCCACTTTCATTTTTCTGCACGTGGCCACCCAATTTTCCCAGCACCAATAGTTGAAGGGTTGTGATTCTTCCACTATATGTCTTTGGCTCCTTTGTCAAATATCAACTGACTGTGCATGTGCCGCTTTATTTTTGGGTCCTCTAGTCTATTCCATTGGTCTTCGGGTCTCTTTTTGTACCAGTACCAAGATGTCTTTGTTATCATGGCTCTATAGTAGAGCTTGAAATTCAGTATTGTGATCCCTCCTGTGTTGTTTCTTTTGCCTAGAATTGCTTTCTCTATTCTAGGTCTTTTTTTGTTCCATATGAACTTTTGGACTGTTTTCTCTATTTCAGTAAAGTACGTCATTGGGATGTTAATGGGAATGCATTGAATGTGTATATCAGTTTTGGCAGTATAGCCATTTTCACTATGTTAATTCTGCCTATCCAGGAACATGGGAGATCTTTCTATTTCCTGGTATCCACTATGATTCCTTTTTTTTAGGCTTTTACAGTTTCATGAAATAGATCCTTTATATCTCTGGTTAGGTTAATTCTGAGATACTTTTTTTTTTTTAGGTTATTATGAATGGGGTTGTTTCCTTGATTTCCTTTCTGCTTGTACATTGTTGGTGTACAGAAAGGCGACTGATTTTTGTGGGTTAATTTTGTAGCCTGCTACTTTGCTGAAGTGGTTTATAAGCTTTAAGAGTTTGGGGATGGAAGCCAGGCGCTGGTGGCTCATGCCTGTAATCCTAGCTACTCAGGAGGCTGAGATCTGAGGATCGCGGTTCAAAGCCAGCTCGGGCAGGAGAGACCGTGAGACTCCTATCTCCAATAAACCACCAGAAAAC